AATTCAAATATTAAGTATGTTTTGCGACTCTAGACAGGAAGATTGGGATGTGTTTATACCGGCCGCGTTATTTTCATATAGAGTAACTAAACAGGAAATGATTCAAGAAACACTGTTTTACTTAACATATGGGAGACGGGCGACGTTGCCAATAGATACGGTATTGTTAGAACCAGAACAAGAGAATAAAATATCCCGAGATTATGCGGAATTACTGAAAGAAAAATTAAAAGTTGCCCATGAGACTGCTTTAAAATGCATTGAAGCTAATCAAGGAAAAATGAAATATTATTTTGACCGGCGAGCGAAGGAGAGTACTTTCCAAGTTGGGGATATTGTTTATTTGTACACACCAAAAGCAACATCGGGGTTGAGTAAAAAATTAGAACATCGGTGGCACGGCCCATATCGCACGTTTGAAAAAGTATCTCCCGTGAACTTCCAATTGCAACGCGTATGTGATGGAAAAATATTTTAAAATATAGTGCATGTGAATAGATTGAAACATGGGGCCTTACGCGAAGAACAAAATAACGAAATTATAGTTGGGGAAACCCCTGAATTTGAAATCGTGAATACTGATGAGAGGGATACAGAAATGCAAAGTGAACCCCCACCCACTCAAACGGGAATTCCTGAAGAAATTGTTCCTAATTTAGATGATATACCTGAAGGAGAAAACGATTCTGTAGGGCTCAGAGACGCAGAGATGAACAGTAAGAATAGCGGATATTTTGGTATCGAAAAAATTATTAAGGGGAGGCTGAAGAATGGTAGAAAGGAGTATCTTATTAAATGGGTGGGTTACCCAAAAGATCAAAATTCTTGGGAATGTTATGAAAATTTAAACGAACAAGCGAGATTATTTTTAGAAGACCATCCGATACCCCTTATGGGGTCGACAAAGGCGAATAAGAGAAAGCGGAAGAAGTTGATTAATAGTTTAGAAGTATATTAAAAAGAGATTAGTGTGTGACAAGACGAATGTTATTTAGGCCCTGGGACGCACATCATTCATTACTAACAATAATACTTAACGAATTCATTCATACGAGATCATTTCTCAAGGAGCGTGGAGAGAATCCATGATAAAACCGCAGTGTTCTCCCCAGGATGTAAACAGCGTGGCGGTCCCGCCACAATGCTTCGATTTGCCGCCACACCGGTCTGACACTGCCACGGTGATTAGCAAGACCGCCACAGAATCAAGGGCGTCGGGATCCAAAGCAACCCCGTTGGCACGTCTCTTCTCTCCCTGTCCATCCGAGTGCGGAGTGGGGCGCAGAGCACGTCAACAATGTTGATGGGCGGGCGTTGGTCAGTCGCGGAGGACATACCGCTTAAGGCCCCCGGGTGGGGAAAACATTAGGCAACACTTCCCGCTGGACCAAACGCTACCTGGTCGGTGTGGTTACAGGATCAGACCCCATAGCATGGGATGAGACCAAAATGCCCCCAACCGGATCCCAAGGCACTTTCCCCAGACCCCAGTACAACAAACGGGGGACAGCCGTGTCCCATGGGCGTTCTTGCCAATCGGGACGGCCCATCCAGCCCTGAGGGGAGTGTTGCTTGAGCACATTATTGTGTGTGCCCAGGACTCTGAA